TCTAAAAAATTTGGAAAGCAGAAAATTCAGTGCTCAAATGACGGGATAAACATCAATAACGTTCAGACTATGCAGGTGAGGAAATTAGGGTCCAACCTCGTTAGCCCACGTTCATCTGCTTGATACATATAAGTCCTGACAACTGCCTGGATCGCCATTTGGTACGTGACTGCGCAAAGGAACAGTCTCGATCAGTTTTTTTTCCCCAAAACAGCGGACAACCAGAAAGCGATACTTGCACAACGGGAGGTTTGCAATGCGACTCGTTGTATAAACACGTTTCCGGTTTGTTTTCAGTTCTTTTCAGACAAAAAGCATCTCATGCAATCTTTTGTCTTATTCTCAATGTCCCACCCCGAAGTCCTTTTGGCTTTGGTTTTTTTACACTGTGAATAGTCATCAGTTAGGCCAAACAACTTTGCATGCAATGCTAACTTTCGACCTTGTCTGGACACAAAGTAAGCAAGCGAGTGAAGACAGGCCCAGTCGTTCAACAGTAACACGCTTTCGGTGCCAAGCTGCCATGCCACCCCAAGGAAGCACGAGGACTGGTATACGGCCAGGTTGCCCAAGCCTAGACAGGGGAAATCGAGTGGCAGAGGTCCAGTTCGAACCACGGACCTTTCGGTCAGCAAATTCGCCCAATGAAAAAGGACGCTTCTTGTCGGTCGAGAACGGTTGAATGTCATACAATAGAGCGGATCAAAAAATACGGAAGATTAAGTTATTCAGTGACTGCTGAGAATAGCTTCAGGGTAATGTTGGAGAATGGAGACTATCAGGAAGGTCAGCTTCCTGAAAGCAACCACTGAATGCCCGGAACCTACGGAGACTCTCAGCTCCGCTGGGTGTTGACCAGACAGACAACGCCCCCTCAATATGCAGCGNAGCGCGAGTCAGCGTTGATCAAGGTCACACAACGCCCCCGCTATATGCAGCACGTCGCAGCCAGACCGTGTGCGTCAGCATTGGACCAAGTTCAGACAGTGTCCTTTCAATAAAAAGCTTGAAGCCGTTGTACTTTTTGCACTCGCGCTCTCGCAACCACTTTTTGGAATATAGCTGTTGTGTTCCCTTCCGTGAGTCTTTTCTCTCCGACACTAGGCACTGGAGCGGGTCAGAAGCAGCTACCACAGGCCGGCAAACCAGCAGATATAAGAGATATATAACAGATATATAACAACATCCCTATGGGGAACCCATTTTCACTGGAATTTTGTATTATATAATAGAGTCATCAGTCAAGTCATGACTTATCCCATCGTGTTGTCATTCTTCTGAAAGCGGCCTCTATTTTTAGTTCAAGGGCGTGCATACACTCAAACTGCCCAGCTCACCGGATAGTTCCGCGCAAATTAGCAAGGAACAGCCCCAGAATAGTAGATGAGAAGTACAAACTCTTTGTATAAACCGTGTTCGACCACAATCTTAAACAGGCAACCATGGACGTTCGATGAAAGCGAAGTACGGGCACACAAATGGTACAAGCCTGCGTTGGTCTAGCGCTGGAACGCGACCAACCCACGTTCAAAAAACACGAGAGAGGACGCGCCAAGCCCGGAGCGGGTAAGAATGACCGTTTGCTACCTACAGACGCACTGACCATAGAGGAATAAAGACACAACAATTGACCAATCAGAACTCTGACGAAGCTCAGACGGTCAGGATCAAACCTTGAGGTCACAGCGGCAAGAAGTAATATGACTGGATGCGTGGGAGGGAGACGGGTGATCGGCATGTGATATAGTGCTGTGAGCTGATGTAAACACGCCAGTGAGACCATACTTACACGGTGCGCGCTAAGGCGAAAATGTGCACGGTCGACAGCGGGATGGAGTAATCAAAACAGTTCCCAACGATCTGCTTTCAAAAACACTTTCTCAAAAGTACTTCATTAGTTTTCCAAAGGAGTCTTGGGCATATAAGCCAATTCGCGAGGGACAACTGTTGCCAAATCATTATTCAAGCATGAGTGCTTTGAATTGTTTGGAGAAAAAAAACAATAACTTTCTCGAGGGGTACTTTTTAACCGTCACTTTTACTTGTCATTGTCATCTGAAGCATATCACGTGTCCGATGTTTAGATGAGTCTCTCGTTGACAGCACCCACTCACAAGTTTGCCGAAAAATTTCGACAGTACACGGATGGTTTTGCCTTTCTTGGGGCTAATCAGGTAGGCGCAGTCCCCGAGTTTCCGTCAACCTTCTTTCTTCCTTTCTTTCTTTCACTGGAGCATTTTACCGACAGGTATCCGAGCTAAATCTTGAGAACTAATCAAGAGCCACGTGGGAAACAATAGCAGAGGAAAATCCGCAAGCCACCGGCCTACAGGCTGTAATTTGGTGAGGTTTCCGGGATTGCTTGATTGAAGAGACTCACCTACTCTTTAAAGATTCCGAATTGTATTTCGGACTTGTAATAACGCCTGAACGAGAAAGTATATCAGCTTCCTCGTTGGCTAGTCGGACAGACATACCAGCTTTGAGAGTTTTCCACAGACCTGAAAACGTCTAATGTCGAACGTTTTGCGTTCATGTGACAAAAAAACGCACTGTCACGAAATCCCTGGTACAAATTGCATAAAACTGCCTTGAGATCCCCGGCTTCATCAGTGACTAATCGACGAAGAGAACGGAACCCCGAAGCATGAGTCGTAGGCACCCTCAAATTTGCTTTAAATATTCCACCTGGCTGCCCAAAAGAGGAAGACCTTGGCAACTTCTATATTTATACTGTTTTTATACTGTTGTACACACTACCCCAGTATTGTACTTCGCCACGCAGCTAAGTCATTTTGATTCTCAGTCTTGTGATTGCAAAGAGTCGTCGATCGACTCGATCTACTGATCTGTCTTTGTCCCACACGTGACCTGTCCCTGCTGACGACGTGCATCGACAATTTGCTCCCAAGTGATGCATTTATCAATCTTTCCCCAGACGAACCTCAACTTACATCTGTCCATAATAATAGATGGATGAATTCAGAATATAAGTTCGTGAGATATTTTGCAGTCTGCCTGTGACCCTTTTAAACTGATCAACCAGAAAGGATTTTTTTCTCATCCATTTCATTTTTTCGGGTGAAAAGTCATCTACCAAAGTCAGTACGGCCTCACGGGATCTCATTTGTCGAGGCTACGGCTACCAACTACTGTTCCCTATTCGGATGTTGACCAAAACCATTCACGTAAAATTCTAGGCACTGTCGAACTTGTCTCCAAGACAATCGACCTCCCCCCGGGATTTCTGACCTTATTCATCGTCAAATCGTGGGAGAGCTTCGGTACTCTCGACTGCCTCTGTTTTCTTTCATGTCTCGTCATAGGTAAATAAACACTTTGCTTGCCTGAAGCGTTTGATATCGAAAAATGTGTTTTGTTGCAAACTCATCCAGTTCTTCTCACTTGTTGCCTTACCAGTCCAGAAGTGAGTCCAACAACGAACGAAATAAATTGATTGTCTGGCCTACAGATATGTCAGGTCACGAAAACTAAGTGAGCTAGCAAATACACGATCGTGTCGGGTTTGTGAGGGAGAAAGTATTCATAATTCAGGGTAAAACCGGTTCGGGTCGTGAGACTGGTACATTATTAATGGTCAAGTGTCGCGGAACATGTTACAAACTGGTGATGTATCGATTTTCCTCACTCCTGCTTTCAAATCGTCCGATACGTGAGAGAGCTTTGGGAGTTGAACTGTTCGCATCCTAGTAAGTACTCCTACAGATATATGCGAAAAACCTTTTGAACAGTGGTGCACTTGTGGTCGCTTATTTCGACATTCGACGACAGGGAATGACTGGTAGGACAGTTGTCGAACCCTGCGACCGTCCGTTAATTTTCAACTGTACTGCCTCAAACTGTGTTCCTGATTCAGGCGCAGTTTCTTCTAACTAGCTCGGGTGCGGAGGTTGGGGGCTTATTTCTCCTTAAGTTTTTGTGCACAACTGCACAGATAGGTCTATGAAACAGAACAATCAATTCGTTGTTACTGACAAAATTTTTGGAGTAGCATTCGGTCCGCTTGTATTTGTTTTGGCCAGTTTGTAACGACGCTCAGTGATCAAATGGGGTGAATAGATAACTATGACCTCAGCAGTTCCGAGTTGGAGGTTAACCGAATGAAAACCCTCACAACTATGTCATCCCTTTCTTGATGTAATCTAACATCAATCATATTCTATATTCTATTCATATTCATATTCTATATTCAGGTGTATCATGATCACTGTTTCTGAGCCTATTCCACACGCTCCGCCTACGTCGTGCAATGTTGCCAGTCCCAAACAAGAGTTTCGAAAAGGCGAAAGGTATTCCTCATTAGCGACTTGAATGCACCGTCAAGGAACTGAATAAGCTTTAGTAAACAAACAAATCCATAATACCGTTTGATATGAAAAGTGTTATAGTCTGGTCGTGGCCAGTTCAAGGCTTCCCGGTGGGGGAAGGGTCATCGAAGGACCCAGAGTGCTTCGCAAACAGTTCAGAAGTAACTTCGTTTCTTCACCTTTCAAATGAATGGTAGCAAGAAGAAAATCAATTCAAAGATGTCTACCATTGGTTATCCATCAGAAAGTGTAGAAACTAACCGCGTATTTCCGGATTTTGTGGTTCAGAACCCAGGAAGTCTACACCATTGTTGATGTGGAGGGTGGTTTAGTTCGGCACTCCCAAATGAACAGATCGGAACCTAATTGAACGTCCCCAGGACCGTGTACCACATGAACTCCTTGAAGTTGGCAATCGACCGAAGCTCTAAAACCCTCCCCATCGGTTGCGGAGCATTTCCAGTCCACGAAACATTGGGTAAGCCTTAGAGATCTAGGTGGAGTTGTCAATCTGAAACAGCTACTTCAGATGTAGTTCACTACTGCTGAACAACTTTGGACGAAACTATGAGCAAACCAAGCCTTCTCACGCTCCATTAGCCTCCTTGGGTGGAGAAATAATGGATGTACCATTCTTCTTCACTGGTCTTCCATTTATGGTTTTTGTCTTCGTTATAATGCTGAGGAGCTGAAAGGGAATCCGCGACAACAACAATCGCTGCACCACAAACACAACAAGCATTCCGACTCTGGCAGTGTAGTGTCATATTTTTGCGCAAATCGTCCAGCCGTAGCACCCTTTCGGTGCCTAACTGCCATACCACGCGAAGGAGGCACGAGGGCTCGGATACTGCCAGGTCGCCCAAGCCTCGACAGGGGAAGTCGAGTGGCAGAGGCTAGGTTCGAACTACGGACCTTACGTTCAGTGGATTCGCGCTCTAAGCACTTAGTCCATCTCGCCCGTGCAAACCCGGGTCTGCTGAGGCAACTTTTCTACAGGCCGGTTGTACGTCCACCAAGGCATACAGTGTGCTAGGTTTCAGCCAATCAGTGCTGCCTAGGATGGCAGTGCGACGTCTAAAGGACGGAAATTCTGACCCCTATGCGTCAACACATAGCCGATGGTGACTGTCCTTGGATGGATGTGGCGGGGACAAGCACGCATGGTGTCTGCAGCCGGTTTTTCGTTTGTATGTGGATTTTGCCCTCAGTCATACCTCTAATAGGGTGAGACGTACCAGGCAATGCCAAGGCACATTTGTCAGGGACAAGAACGTCAAGGAAAACAGAACATGACAAATTATGAAGGCCAAGGGAAACACTCCAGTCACCAGATAAATTAGAGAGACCATTGATATTGCAGCGGTTGACCTACTAGAATCAGCGGCCTTCCTCTCAACTGAAGTGAAATTCACTCTGGCGGTTGGTAAGGCCTGCTTAGGATGGCTTTGGAGATGATCATGACGCCTTTTCTGTGGATACAGGGCATAAACAACTGAGACCTATGCGAAATCAGATCAGGGTTTCGCAGTAAGTTTCAGTTAATTACACATGCACAATTCTCCCTCCCACCAAATGAGTCTAGATAGAGCAAAATATCGTTACTGATACGAATACTACTCATGAGCGGTGAAAGTTACAAATACATTCCAGCAGAAGAACACCGCTGCATCACTCTATTTTAAGATACCAGCAATGTTGGCCGCGATGGCGTTTGCCGAAAAGGTTGAATTATGCAAATCTTTACGTTTCCATAATCACAGTTCATTCATTTCTTCGTCATAATCCACAATTGCAGGGATAGCTATCTTCTTGGCTATTCAATGCAACGCAAAGATGTGTTGTCGTGTTTCTCTTTGATAAAAATCTCCGTTTGTTCACACCTTCTATTGGAATTGTATGTGCCCATTGTTTACAAAGTTCGAATTCTTCAACAGGACAAGCCCAACCCCTCGATCCTATCTTCTAATGTACTTTCGCCTCACTTCGGGCAGAGCCTAGCTGAAGAGAGGAAAATTCGGATCGTTTCTCTTCTGTTCAACCTAATGATCATTTTGTACAGCACAGAATATGCTCTGGAGTGGGCTCAGTTGTGTGTCAGACCAGAAAATCAATTGCCCCAATAAGATTGGCTAGTAGAAACCAAGTTAACGACAAGAGTTCACGTGTCATCCTGCGGTGATTATCCAGTCACACTAGACCAAGTGTGGGTGTGTGTGAGAGCACACAGCTCATTGAGTTTCTGATTACCATTCTACGCAAACTATTTGGCCTTCATACGACAATCAACATCAGTGTGAGAAGGGTTTTTTGTAAGACACCAAATTAGGCCTTCAAATTCTTTGCGGACTGCTACATCATTCGAAGTACCAGGTGCTTGACACAACGTGTTTGAGAATACCACACATTCGGGCTACCGGACAGACTGAGATGGAGCTTTTGCTAACCTGCTGGAAATCGGATCCTTAGAAAATGTTATTTCTGCTTCTGGAATCGTCGAGAATGTTTGACCTAGTCAGTTGAAACGAATCAGTTTGCAAATTTCCAGTCCAAACAGAGTTAAACACTACTAGACTAGGAAACTTAGCTTTCACTGACTCCTAAATGAACAGTCCAGCTAATTCCACTGGATGAGACCATCAACACGGTCACGTGACATCAACTGACTACGTCCATCAATATCGATTAATTTTACTGATCGTCACGCACAAACTTTGAAATTTGTCTCCTCTAATCTAGTAATTTTATCAACCGCGGAAGATTAACTCAGAAAGATTCGTTCAATAGCACATTATTGGTGTATCAATGGATTTCTTTCATTTTGTCCCTACAATCTTCAATCCCATATTGCTGATAAAAATCACTTGCAAGTGTCCTATAATGCCTCACGAAATAACATCCGTTTGTTTGCTCGTTGCATAGCAGGCCAGTGATGCGTTTTCGATTGAATAAAAACAGTGAATATATGTTGCCATGGGAACAATTGTTGAAGCGGTGTTATCTGAATACTGATTTGGCTCTAGTCCACCAACAATTGTTGAAGCGGTATCTGAATACTGATTTGGCTCTAGTCCACGGACGATGCTTCGTGACATCACTTCCGTTCGATCTCCGGATTATGGGCAGCAGAGTGAGAGAGAGAGAGAGAGGATTTTTTGAAGTGCTTTGGCTTTGAGGAATGGGACTGTGTCGTGGGAGAGGAATTTATACTCTTGTAATCGCGAAATGGCTAACTAGTGAACCAGTTGAATGGATGATTGAGTGAGTGACAAGCCGTTGGTCTTCTAAAAAGTTCAGATGATTTGAATAGTATTCACATTACTATCAGATAAAATTTTGTTCCAGTGCCGCCTGCCAGTGGGACACTAAAAGGACAGAAGCACTCATGATTTGTTTTTCACGTGACTGCATTCAACGGAATTACGACTTCCCGGTTGTCATCTGTCAGTCTTCATCATCTTCAGTCTTCGGAAAGAGGACAATGGTCTACAGTACGAGTTGATTTGGTATTAAATGTCTTGGGTTCAAACACAAAATGGTCATAGACCCTCGAGGAAAGCTTCCAGGAAGAAACATTTCTGTTGAAATGGGAGTTGTCACCACAGTTCCCATTCAAGAAGATGAATTCCTAGGACATGCGAGCACACAACTTCTAATTCCTGAAGTGGCCATTACACTATTCAAGAACACATCATAATGACGATGGATTTTCCATCGATCTGTACTGGTCAGCTGACGCAAGTATTGATGTCAGCGATAGACTGATCGCTTCGAAACATTTGCTCCGACCTCAGTCTAGCTAACGGTTCAGGACCTTGATTCAGCTCGTGGAAATGTCATCCTTATTCGCCAATCAATGAGGCTGATGTTGTGCTATGTGATAAATCCAGTTAGAACTTTGAACCTGTACACCCTTTATTCGCATGGTGTCACCGAAAAACTGAACTGTGATGAACAGCCGAGCCTCACGGCAACAGTGATACGCAACAGAAGTAGCCTAATCGATTGACAGTGGCTACGTTCATTTTAGGCTACTGTAGGGGGTTATTTCTAATTACCAGGCCGTTGGCATCGGTTGAAACATGCTTAGGTGCGTAACGAGTGAAATAGCTTGGTTAGGTTGGTCGACCGGACAACTGTCCAACCACACATACCTTGATGCCGCAAGACAGACTGTTCCTGTTAATCGGTGAGAACTTAGATCAAGTCCAACGATGTAAAATAATGCCCATTACAGTGATACTGGTCGTATATTTTCCGGCCTAGACGAGATTACTTCTTGATTCGTGAAGACCATGGCAGCTTTCGCCTACCTTCCACACTTGTCCGAGCTCCACGTGACATCACATTTTCTGGCAAGTGCAGGCTAACCGGATACCCTACTAATCGCTTGGTAAAACCGAGTGAACGAGCACTTTAGCTCCTATCCGCCTAACTCTGTGTAAAGGCAACATTGGGCTTTCCATCTTCAAGGCTGAAAAAATCACAAGATTGATTGTACTTTGCAGCAGAGATCTATTCAAATACGGGTCACTCTCCTGAAAAGTGTCTGTCAGCGTCACCCATTGAGCCTGATTTCAACAGCTTTGATATGGAATATAAATCCCAGTAGATCCTGATGAAACACACCTGGGTAGATGCTGTATGGCTGCCGTTCAAACTTGACGACTCTCCTAGAACAACTAAGTTTCCTCACTCTGTATACTTCTACCTTACTCAACAAAGTAACACATCATTCGGGTAAGATGACTATGTTGGTCCTTCTCACACCCCAAATTTGCGCTCGATTCTGTCGATCGATCGGTGCTCCGAACCACGCTGGTCGGAAGTGAAATGAGCCAGAAGTTCGTCAACGTAATTTGGCCCCTATGTTCACACAGCGCCATGGGGGTGTAAGGGAAGCCACATAAAAGCTTCTTTAAAGCAGTAGCTATCCACTAAGCATCTTGATCGAGTCTGTCCATTTTCGTCTGATTTTGATGTACTTTTGATTTGAAGGCTGAAGAATCCTCAGAATCCACGTGATCAATTCTTTACTGGAGGGAAAACGTCGTCAAACTCTTCGTGCAACAATTCGTTTGTGAACATGCCGGGTGAAATTTCGGAAGAAGCACTACAGTTTGTAAAGCGTTTTCTATACTTTGGTAGCTGTAGCAGGTTTGATGAACGTGCGTCTGATAAAGTCGGCGCATAAATCTATAATGTGAGAATCGCACACGCTAATTTGGGTCATTTTTGGTATCTAAATGGCATATCACTGAGTCTCAAGAGTCGAGGGTATAGTATGAACTGTGTTGGTGTGTGGTAGCTTGTAGAGGTGATCTGGGTCGTCTTCATGCTTTTGACCATCGATGCGGGTGAAGCCAACGAATAAGTAATGCGTTTAGATTAGAAAACGATTGTGCTGTAGTATAGCATATAATTCATCTACGAAGAACACCCAGCGACATCCATCAAAGACAGGGACTCTGCTATGCTGTACGAATGCTCAATCAATATCTACCAAACCCATCGCACAAAGTGAGGGTTGGACAACTAGTGACCTGACAGAATGGTCTGGAAGTGATGGCGAAAGTTCCAGATTTCGCTATTGCTGCACGCCTTCTAGGATGGGATCCCCGTAGCCTTTCGTGCGATTGACTTCAAGAAATCCAGCCTAACAGATGTTACTGGCTTTCAAATCCACACCAGTTTGTCTAAATGAGAATTTTGTGGTTCGCAGTCAGCTATGAAGTTACAGGGGACTTTTCTGTTTTCTCGTGTATTTTCCAACCTTCGTTTCTAAGTATAACTAAATGAAACGTTTTGTCCCGACGCAGTAAAGCATCCGTTTCCTGACCAAATGATATTGACGCATAGATTGTATCTGATACTAAACCGTCTGGAAGAAATCTGGTTGCTACTTATTTGTGGAGATGCTTCCATGAATCACTGTTTGTCAGTCCCTACAAAAGGAGCGAAACTACAGTCTTTTAAATGGTCCGTTTCAGGGTACACAATACGCCAAAACTTGAGTAGGTGCCGGCATGTGTGCAAGGCGTTGCTAACATTGGAACGTACAAAGTTATAACAACAGACCGCACTCATCTCAGAAACCCTCTATTATCAATGCTCAAGAAACTCGGGGCCATGACGTAATGAATTTCAGAATACATGTCATCAAATCTGATATTTTTAAACATCACTTGCACCTATTCTTGTGTTTCCACAAGGTGCAGAAAACAAGGGTCCCATATTGAGGTGTTCGTCACTGCCGTGCTGCAAAGTCCTTATTAAATTGCGTTCTACAGGCTTCGGACATCTCTAGTTGCAGCAAATCGACAAACCGGCAGTAATGATCTGTCGATATATCTTCGACACCAGTCCATCATCAACAGTTGGAAGTATGGATAGCATTTAATCTGCCACTGGGTAATGGCGCCAGAAAAATGTTTGTAAACGTTGCGTCGGGTTTAGTGACCAGTCAACTTAGATTAACTCACGAAAGAGCCCAAAGTAATTCGGTGGACTGGCGAATCGTTTAGTCGCAAAGCACCTAGGTATCTGGGGCTGCAGTGTCACATCAAAATTTCAGTATCCGACGACACTCATATTTCTTGTTGAATTGTATAATTTCTCTTAGGACTGTCACGTTAAAGAACAAGGGGGTAAAAGTTGCCGGCTTTGCTTATTCATCGAAAAACGGGTGAACCTAAGCTCAGCCTACCCCATAGGGTGGTGATACATCGAACCTGGACCTTGTTCAAACGAGACTGGGAAGAGATCGAGTCATGGGCGTGTTCCGGATGCCTTGTTTGAGATTTTTATCCAACTCATGAAGTAAACGCCAAGCAACTCCTCAAAACCAACATATTACATGAACCAGTTCCACGAATACAAACTTGCATCGGACTTCGAGAACATCAAGCGACATATCATCATTTTTCCTTGGATAAAATTCAGATTTGCGTACTTAACAGTGGAAATTCGGCCATCAGAAGTCACCAAGAATTATCAATGCGCTGGCTTCCCTCAAAGGCCAAAATATCCGGAGCTGTGGATATTGACTACAAGGGACACCCTTGTAGTCAGTACTTTCGAGGAGCTGTCCGGTCCAGAAGAAATTTGATAAAATATCGGGGAGTTGTTCCCACTATTTATGTCAAGTTTTAATTTATCTACAAGATATGCTGACAAAAACCCGGTAAAACCTATATTCACCTTGCTCGAATGGACAGAAACGATCTGATTTATACCTTTTGGGTTCCCTTGGACGGCAAATCCAGGTCAGTCCTTGTATGCTACCATCGAGTCTACACATTCGTGGACAAAAAACAATCCAACTTGCTGGTCTGGTAGGATTCTACATACAGCACCGCCTAGCAGAACTGCTGTACTAGTGTTCTTGACTGTCGGCGCTCTAAAGTCCCCGGGCATTAACGGCGAAACCTTGATGGTGGCGTATGCACGCAAACGGAGAAAATCCACGCGGATATTTTTCAGCTTTTACTACAACCAATGTAGAGTGGGTCAGAACGGGTCACAAGCGTTGGTTTGCAGGTAATTCAGTGAAAAACTACAAGTGATAAACACTGCGTCATCCTGAACAGATTATCCACAGTCAACAAAGTCAGCATTTATATGAGATTGCCTCTTTTCTCATGTGTCGTCAGTTTTAATTATTAAGGCACCATAAATAACAGAAAAATATTCATTAGTTTCCCATGTTATTCCAGCTGGCGTTGGGAACAGTTCGTGAAATTGAAACGACCACTCATCAGAGTACACACAAAACCCCCTAGTCTTCCTTCCTAAAGTGATTGAGACGATGCGATAGTCAGGATCTGCACGACGTAGAGCCTTGCAATGCCCAATGATGGCAGCTGAGTTGAGGTTTCTTCGCGATTGTTTCGTGCACTTTTTAGCTGAAGCCTGTTCAGAGTTCAGGGTACAATTGTTTCAACGTAATTGAAAGTCAAAACTGATTAGGTTATCGGGAGCTGTAGATTTTCTGTTGTACTAGACGGGTTACGCCGGACGTGTTCTGGTGAGTGACGTTCAGTTTGCTGATAGGGTCAACCAAATTCTTGTTACGACCTATCCACCGACATCCGACACAATCACACATAGCCTTTTCCATAGGAGAGCTCATCCCTATGAGCAGTGTAGGCACAGGTGATTTTGCCCCCGGGCATTTCTGGTGCTCGAAGAGACTGAACCTTACCGTGGTGTGGCGGTTTGTGTACCTCGGTGACCCGTTAAGCTGTACAGTTGAGCTACGCGGTCTCCTGGTCCTCCAGGTTGCAGGTTGGAACATGTATGGCGACGTGTTCCGTAAAATGGTAATGTACTTGCATTTCCAGTCCAAAATTGTTGCCTTACGGTTAGGCTTTTGAGCCAAAGGCTTGGGTTGAGGACCCTAATCGTCCGCTTGTCTAAGTGTGGGCACCCTGGCAGTATCCCAGCCCTCGTACAACCATGTCATTCACAACTAACAATACTCTCAGTACGGCAGTCAAGCATCAGTGCCACACTGATGTTGCTGTCTTTGATGATGATGAGGATGATTTCCCGTGCTCTTTGTCAGCCCTTTTTTTCAACCAAGTTGTCAGTCCATAAGAACTAACTTGCTGGTGGGTTACCACGAGACTATCTGACGCTTGTCAAAATCAATTAAATGGTTGCCTGGCCGTTTACTCAGATTTGATCGGTGCTCAAATTTTCGAACATTTACTACATCGCATCATTGTCGGATTTGGGAATCGATCATTAGGCTGCAAAAGAGAAGGTTGATGGCGAACAGGCTGACCAAACTCAAGTGTCCGAACTCAACACAGTTTCGGAAATAAAAAAACACTTAAGGAGCTAACTTGACCCCAGTGGCATTGAAGAAAACTGTCGATATGCGCTCTCCAAACTTGCATATCAGAACTTCTTATGGATTTCAGATCAGCCATGATTCATGAATCGGTCACAATATTCAGCTGTAGCACTCTTTCGGTGCCTAGCTGCCATGCCACCCGAAGGTTGCACGAGGGCTGGGATACTGCCAGGTTGTTCAAGCCTAGACAGGGGTATTGGAGAGGCAGAGGTCGGGTTCAAACCACGGACCTTTCGGTCAGTAGATTCGCGCTCTAACCACTTTGGCCATCTCGCTCCCAGTCGGTCACGAGCACATCGAATTTTTCACCGGGAAGTTTTATTCCGACCACTACACTTCAGATATCTGCAGTTGGCTTGGTCCCTCTTGGAAACCATCTTCAACGCGAAGTGTGTAGGGTTGAAGATCCTCGATGAAATCAGACAATCTAAGGGATAGTTGACAGCCCAAACTCTCCCAGACTATAGCTTAGCCAGTTAGAATTTTATAAAAGTGTTAAATTTATTAAAGTTAGATTTATTAAGTTAAATTAAATTTATTAAATTTATTAAAGTGCCGGTCGACAATTGCATGGATTTCCCACTCATTGGTACTTGGTAGTTTATAGAATGCATTTATTTTTGCAGGCGGGTGTATTTCATTTGAAACTGCGGTAAAATTTGAATCCAGAGGCTTTTCCTTTGACAGAGTTCCATGCTCACCAGTGTGTGTTGATTGTAAAACGCGCAAGAAGCTAATAGGGGACACAAGGAACATATCGTCCCTGATAACGAATGACTGCCAAATTTTTTATCCACATGACGGAAAGGCGACTCAAAGCTTCCGACGAAGATCGTGTCATCTTCATAGTATCAAGGAACCCCACTTTACAGTTGTGTTTCTATTGCACAGGTGTCTACAAAGTGGATTCAATCGTACTGGAAACTCAGCTCTGCCGAAATATACTACTGGTTCCCATTAGTAGTGCCTGAAGGATAGATTGTTCAGAATTATTCCTAACTGTGCATTAAAAGTTTAGCTTCGCGAAGATAATCAATGATAGCGTGGAAATGAACTCAATCACTTACATTGTCCATTACATCGTCGAATTATTTTATCCAAAAACGTGTTCTGTGGTGCTACCAGTCCGCGTCGAGAACCACTGATGAGCGACATTTCGGCACGTTTTCTATTTTGCTATCACTTCACGCTTAATTCCAGCAGGAAATCCGCACATTCTAAATGTCAAATGGCACAGAATTTCCGGAAATAATTCCCCAGGATGACTCATTTTTGTAGATGAGAACAAACGAATTACCATATGACAAAAATGAGAACCTAGCACGCATTGATGAACTGTCAAGAAATACGAGTATATCCACACGTACAATAGAGAGCGACAGGATGTGCTGGTGGCGCAAGCCACAACGAAGCGCGCGTAGTACAACTTGTTGCCCAATCCTGCTCGTGGATTCTGACTGGCTGCTGACTGCTCACTCATTCACCAATCCCATGAGCCATACATCTGCAAACTCCGAATTGCCACTGGTCCGCTTTGTTCCCGACTGCCTCGTTCTCTCGTCCGCTTATTCATCCATTCACTGGCTCAGTCAACTCACCCACACATCCACTCTTCAAATGGTCAGTGTCAATTGGTAAGTCAGCTAACACACGCTGGGATGGATCGACCGCTGCCTGCTAATTCCGTATGATATTGCGTGAGCTATCACCTCACGCGGGAAAACAAGGTTGATTTGGAGAGACGCAGGTGTCGCGCTAAACGTTGGTAGACGTGTTTCGCAGAAACGGCGAATTCACTGCGGTAAACAGTGATGAACTTAATAAATATGGGAATAAATTGTAATGAGGTTTTTGTAACATCTGTCAGCATAGGAGCTAGAGGACTCCAGCTACCACACTTTCTAGAGAAAGGGAAGGCTCCTTCATTGCATTGTTGCCTGCCTGGTCAATTGGTTGATTAGACGATGGTTTGTTAAATTGATTGAATGAGTGGTTGCTTGGTTGGACTGTCTGTCTGACTGATCAGGAGAATAACTGGTTTGTTGCTAGGTCCTCCCGTACTGGCATGTTGGTACTGGTTCAATTAGAAGAAAATACGCCAAGATGTGAGTAAGCAAGTAACTATTCAGTTCACATACTGACCTCTCGGACGGAGTATGGACAGATAATTATGACGGGTGCCGGCAGCCTATAAGAAGGCGTCCACGTTATATTCGAATAGTGCTCCATAGTAATACCTACCCTACACTCAGGATGTATTATGTCAACTGTATAGGAGAATCAACCTTGATGTGAAAAGAGGGCAATGACCATCAAAATTACTGATAATTCTCAGGTGAGAGCAGATGACCGCTCTACGCTTTCTGTTTGGCCCCACTCGTTTGGGGGTGTCCGGAAAACTCCAAGAAATCTCTCCAGATAACTGTCAGAAGTGCGTACTGTCGTAGTTTAGTATTAATACGTACAGCGGAAGATGTTGGGTGCGACTGGGATAATTTTTATGGTTAGGAAAGTGAGTTGTTAAAGAAAAAACACGAGACTGACGCTGCAGAGGTATCGGATTTGAGGATGTTATTGCTAACAAAAGAAGCGACTTGGAAATTTAAAGTAATTTACTGCTGAATAACCAACCGATTCACCTTGGTTTATACCCGGTAGGCACTGCTCCCTCAGGATGTGCTATTTGACTCTCTTCAACTGGGTTTAAGTACAACAATTATTGATGTACAGTACTCAGTTCCCCAAAAGTCCGCGACTGGTATTACCCTTAATGAATTCTATTATGCAGGTGCAGTTCCCGGGCTTCGGTCAATATCATCTTCGAATTCAATGCTGCATTCTACACGCTTGACTGAATAAGCTCATCTGCAGACAAGTAAACCGGGAACTGAAATGAATTCCAAGTGAACCTCTCGTTTATGATGTTCTTCAGTCGAAAAAATCTTGCGAAATTTCGAATGTCGTGCTAAATGGAACAAGGAGAGGCAGCACCCACGTTTAAAGTAGTTCATAAACGGCGATTTTAGTGGAATGTATTTGATGACCTCAATAGAGTAATATTTCTTTTATTTCAGAGGTAAATGCCTTGCTTATAAGCTACTTGAAATTGAATGGAGTTAGTAGTGAACTACTAAGTTGCTCCAATCTCTTTGACATTTTGTGCGATTCTCACTGCTCATGGCGTCCAAAAAGAATGAAGCATCGTCTGTGCTTTCTTACTTGTAAATATTTCAATTCCAGGATGGAATCTCGCTTAAACTTTGAACCTCATCAGATAGACGATGGCGGTTATTCACTACAAAAAACAGTGCTTCAAAGAAGGAAGAACCCTGGACCCTTCTTGGATCAGGTCATGCGCCAACAACTTAAATTCACAGCCAGCTGTATGGTCTGCATCGTATCTTGTCGACTCCGTAGTTCCTCCAAAAAACCATTGAAGGCTACCAAAATATCTCCTCGAAAGGTGCATTTTCGAGCGGAGGTTCAACACAGGTTACTGTACTGTGAAGTGTGACTCGGTTTACTATACAAATGAAGAAGTCGTCAATCTCACTGTCATTTAGAGAGTGAACAGTGCTATTCAACCGAAAATTTTAAAGCAAATTGTCAAGCGGAAGAACATCACGGTTAGGGGGCCTGGTCGCAAACTTTTTATGTCCTCAGTGTTGAAGTGCTAGCTTGAATATATAATCTTCAGCAGGCCATGACTTTATGAAGCCGCACGGGGCACCAGCGGTACCTAGACTTGCCCGTGTTATTACCATAACCGAGCACGTCCTGGCATGACTTTTGATTGGTCCCCCGTGCTGAAACCAATCAGGAGTAGCACACTGTGATTTTCTGAATTCGATCTACGCTTGACCAGGAAATCCTGATCAAATCAGGGCCCATGGCCTGCCAGTCATCCTCACCTGATGCGTGAGGATCGATTACAAGGTAGACAGAGTCAGACCACACACTAATGGTACCTCAGTTCTGGACTAGAAAAGGTTCCAAGTCTTTCATAGACCTAATACACTACTCAAGCCATGCTTTTTGTACAATTTCAGACAAAAACTGGCAAGTAAGGGGAGATTTCAGCTAAAACCTAAGTGCTGAAGTGGGACGTCAAAAGTATGGGAACACCACAAATGAATATCTTGTTCTCCACACACATGCACCAATGAGGCATGCCGAAATATGTCGCTTTGATAGGATGCACTCTACTGAAACCGCTCCCTCCAGAAAGGACGTTTTTAGTCCAAATCTGTAACTTGCTCATCTGCAGGCTGGTCAAATATTCAAACTTGTTTAGACCAAGCCAGCCAGAAGACTTCTAGGAACCGTCTTCCAATCACGAGGAGTCGGATTAACAGGTCAGACTCATTTCTCAAAAATCAAAGAGTGGTTTCTTGTCTGATCAGCATGCCTCATGCTTTGACCACCAACATGTATGATACTTGGTTGAAATGCCCCATCTACTTCATTTGACTAGCTAACCAAAGACTTACAGTACTCATTTCTTTCCATAACATACTCCATTCAGTCCTCCCCCGACCGAGACTAGCGCGTGCTCCTTGGCATTTTCTCCTAGCCACAGATCACAATTTGGAGGGGGTTCTATAGGAATACAGCGTTTTTGTACCTTGCAAAGTACCATACAGCCACGAACAATATGCTGGCCAATTTCTAACGGGTACCAGCTGAGAATCCTGGATGAAATCAGTTTTCACCCGTTTACACCGATCACCTTGTTTTTGATTCCCATTCTTTCCCATGCGCCTGGTCTCCCAAAGCCTCCTGAACTGCCCCCTACATTTTTTCAAAACACCGTCACTCGCAGGACAATCTCGTTCCATGTACTTCCCGGAAGTTTTCTGATAATAGAGTGTGAAATAAATTTCCGGCAATCTCTAACGAAGTTGGTTGGTCGAAGTGCATGCGACCTTAAAAATAGGCATACTTACTCACTGAGCAGGAAAGTTCACCTTAGCTTTTTGCGAGAATGCGCGGTCACCATCTACAA